CTACTCTGAACTGCCTGCTTATGACCTAACCCTACTTTTCGGTTAGTGACTTTAAATATTATTTTGTCTTTAAGTTGTTAATTATAAATAAAAGTTTCACAGACATTTCCCAAACATATCATTTATCTTTACATTCATGATATCTTTTGATTAAGATTTTAGAATTTTATCATCTCACAGCTTCTGAGGATCCATAATTTGAAGATAGTTTTATGTCTGTGATGTTCTGGTTTATCATAGAATCACAGGCACACTGTTTGCTGTGATTGAAGCCATTTGTGTTCAGCTGGAATCAGACAAACTGCTTCTGCTTTTATTGATGTAGTCATTGAAGGGCTTATTTTTCTCCAGGATTTTGCTGGAGACCTCATTTCTTTGATTTTTTTTTTTGTCTGAATGTCCTTATGACACAGCTCTTGGCATCTCCCAAAGCAAGCCATACCAAATGAATTAATTATAAGCTTGAGCTGTAATATTCAGCAGTCTAATTTTTGATGTTGTGTGATGTAACTTCTACGTCCCTTTGATTATGCACCGTAACCCTGGTAGAATATGTTATGGATGTCAAGGAACAAGAAACACTTGGAGCCGTAGTGTAGGCTTTCTATCATAAGTGATTTATATCAAAACTACAGTACAATTTAGTAATTATTCAGTCTCTATGTTTTTGGTAGCCATAGAACTACAACCAGAGAGTAAAGACTGTCAACCAGTGGTGATGTTTTCCAAGAGATATTTAACAATATTTGTGAACAGTTTTGATTGTCACAAATACAAGAGTCTCTATTGGCATCTAGTTGGTAGACATTAGATACAGTGTTAAATATGCTATAGGGCACAGGATATCTCTTTTTTACAAAATCATAATCCAGCACCAAATATAAACAAAGCTAACATTTGGAAAACCCAAAGTAAAAATTCAAATATACATCAAGTATCTTTGTTATCAAATAGATTTTTAAATCATTCCCATTCAAAAGACAATGTATACATATTAACTTGCAATTGTACATGCACGACTGAAACCCAAGATCTATATAATCCATGGAAAGTCCCATTCATTTAAAATAACACTTAGAGATATTTCAGGGTTTTAGCTGGTAACTGACTGTTAATGTTAAACTAGACCTGTGATCTGTGGTATCAGAAGTTACTGAAAAATAAGGACTTCATGGAAAATGTAATTGTCTTCCTCTAGTCCTTCCCCTTCATAAATGTTTCACAATTCTCTTCTTTTCTATGTGTAATGTTGTGATCTGGTCAATGACCACACTTGCCTCATCCACATAACTCTTGTTGAAGAATTGGCGGGGTAAGAGAATCTGAGTTCTCTCCTCTCCATTCTTCCCCTATCCTGGTTCCCTAGCAGTGATGGCATGCCCCATGGGTGTAAGATTTTGGCAATGACCCTCTCCCAACTCCTACTAGTTTTCCATCTCTGCTGCTCTTAAGACCTGGTGCAGTTTTGGATTTCTACTGTTCCAGGTGGCTGAGTACATCACCATTCATTCCGCATGGTTAGCAGATCAATATTCTCTCAGAATCCCATCTGGATTTGTCTTTCACTCTTCAATGAACCTGGAGGATAACTGAATACTGTATAGGAGGAAGATCCTAACCTCGGGTTCGATACAGGGTGGAAACAATCTTAAGATGGACAGAAGTGTAATGGGAACAATTGACTGGGGAGGAGTGTACAATCAGAATGATTATGAGAAATGTCAGGGAGAGCAAATCTTCATAATTTTTTTTTTTTGGTTTTTCGAGACAGGGTTTCTCTGTGTAGCTTTGCGCCTTTCCTGGATCTCGCGCTGTAGACCAGGCATCATGCTAGCTGCCGCTTTCCGTGTCTGACTTTATGCTAAAGAGGTGAATGAGAACCCTAGATATCTTCAGAAGGTAGGCTAAAAGCCAGAAAGATTGCCCTCCAATATCTGGGGTAGGAAAGGAAGGGAGTGGAGGTACAGTTTACTCACCAGTGGCTAATGGTTTAATCATATATACTTATGTAATATAATGTCAGTAATAACTTTCAAACAATGAGATTGGAGAGTGCTTTTGTTGGTAAACACACTGCTGTGCTGACAAAGGTGCTATCAGGAGAACCTCAAGGTTCTACCCATGTCTCTGCAACCCATATACCTTGTACTTCTCTTTCATTCGATTTTCCTGAGTTGTAGACTAAAAACACATACACACATACACAAAAAAAGAAAGAAAAAAGAAAAGAAAACCAAACCAACCAAAGAGAACAAAATATCTTTAGTTGTAGGCTTATCTTTTCTAGGTTTTCTTCTCTCAGTTTTATAAGATAATTGTCCAACATTCAAGTCCATGGGAATCCTTTTAATTCAGTCAACACAAGTGCAGGTACCAACATCCATCCACTGGAATAGCCATCTCCACTTTAGCCAATATTCATTTATTCATTCATTCATCCATCCATGGATTCATCCATCCATTCATTCAGCAAAGATTTGATGCATTTCTGTCCCATGCACAATTCTAAGGATTGAACTCAGAGCAGTATATAGCCTCTGAATACCTATTTATTGATGTAATTTCTTGACTAATACATTTGTTTCTGTAGTCTATTGGGTCACAAAAGCAAGAACTTTGTTGTGTTTTGATCACTAGCATGTAGCTGAATCCTATCCCAGTATTTTTAGTGTGTAAATGTTAAGGAAATAACTTATCAGTTGAAAGACAGTTATTTTATGTTAATTTCACTGTGTTTTCCTAAGACTGTATTTTCACAAATGAAGTGCCTTTTCAATTCAGATAGAGTGTATTTTTGGAAAATTTAGTGCACATAATTTTTCTGATATTATTAACTTCCCTACCATTATAGACACTAAAGGGAATATAGAAATTAGCATTTAAGAATAATTGAAAGAGGTAATTTGAGGAACAGAGTGTTACCTAATAAAGGACTTAGCTCATGCATGTTCTGGAGGCACAGTTTCTCTGTTCAGAAGAGTATATCTTCATAAATTAGGGTAAGAGTCATGGCACTATCTATGATGTGATGAGACTTTACCTTACACATGAAGGGTGGGAAGGAAGTTTGCATCAGTAAGAACCTGCTATTGTCTGGGTACTTGCAGTCTTAGCTTTCACAAAGGCTCTGAGAGGTTGGTATTAGCACTGAGAGGTTGGTATTAGCTCTCATTATAAGCAATGAGAAAACAGAGACTTAGGGATATTACAGATCCTGCCCTGCCCAGGATCCAAGAGCTATCCACCAGCAAAGCTGAAAGTTACAAAACAAAGCCCATTGCACTGGAGCCAAGAGCCTCTAGTCAGTAGAATGGAGGGTACCAAACAGTTGCCTCTTCATTCAGACAGCCTTTTCTGAGTCAGAAACCCAAAGCCAGGTTACAGATTAAAACACAGAACCTCTAAAGCATGGAAGTCTTCAGAAGCCAGATGAAAGAATCAAATTCACCAAATATTTTTGCATTCATGTAAGTAGATAGATCTATAACATACATTCATATTATAAAACGGGGAATAAAATGTTGAAAGATGCAAAAAGAAGGCTGGTCTCCTTTTGGTCTGTGTGCTGGTTATCCAAGCCTCAAACAGACTGCCTGCCTACAGTCAGAGAAAGTTAGACAGCTCTATAACATACATTCATGTTATAAAATAGGGAACACAACATTGAAATATATAAAAACAACCTCGGTCTCCCTTTGGTCTGTGTTCTTGGTTATCCAACCCTGGAACGGACAGCAGAGCGTACCTCTCTACACTCAGAGAACATGCAGTTATCAATCTCTGTGTTGTTTCTTGTTTCTCTCCCTGCCCCTCCCTATACTGCTGTGTTGTACCTTTTAATAAGTCAGTAGCATGCAGGATTCTTCTGTACTCTCTTTTTTCCCATTGCCATTACATCTTACTTGAACTGTCAGAACTCAATATTCTAGAAGCATTCACTAGCATTCTCCTCACTGTGTGGGAGATGAGAGGAAAAAAAAAACCTCTCAGCAAAGATAAACCACGAGAACTTGTCTGGATTTCAGACACTATCTCTCATAATGTGACTATGAACCGCAATCAAAACAGGACCATGGCAACAGATTAGATATGTGCTGAGTCAGGCAGAGGGACAGAGAGGAATTCGTAACACATGTCAGAATAGAAGTATGACATAAGTGATCAAAAGAGGGAAGATGTAGGGTAAAGGAGAGACGCTCAGCGTTGAGGTGCTGCCCTGTTCTAGGAGATCAACGACATTCCAAAGGGGTTGTGGCTGGATGGAGAGCTTGTGGGAACACGTCACCCAGCCTGAAAGAGCCTTTGAAGGGAGTACCCACCCTCAACTTCTAAAGATTTATGAGGCCATTTCTCACTCTGACTTACAAGGGACACATCTAAAACACGAATCTATAGCTTTCTTAAATGAAAGAATAGATACTATTATATAAAGAATATTAAATACAAGGAATTAGGATTGATTTTACTCCCTTTAAAAAAATGGGAAAAAGGAATACTTTTGTAGTTTAAAAGAAAGGAGGCAGTACTATTAATTCTTTTTTTTTTTTGTCAAAAATTTCCAGGACCTCAAACGGCAATACCTTTATTCCACATGGTTTCTTGTCATTTCCTGCTTTTCCTTCTTCCTTCATTTTTACTGTGTGTACTGCCTCCGAGGATCCAAGGGCTAGGCAGGAATTATGAAAAGACAGACAGAGCTTCTGCCATTGAAGAACACACCTGCAGTGAAAGGAAGATTGTGCAAAGGACTTCTTTGAAAATTCTATAGCTTATGCATGTAGGAATGACCCAGGGTTTATAAACAGAGAAGTTAGGAAATTCTCTAAGCAAGAATGTGTGCCAAAAATAAGGCTACATTATTGGAAAACTGAAACTAGATGACTCACAGAAACTAAGGTGAGCAAACGGGGCAAAGCATGTGGTTAGGAGAAATTTCAAGAGTTATGTAATGGTGGAGATGGAAGGATTTTATTTCTGCAAGGTGCTGGGTATGTGAGACACAATGCTCTGTTTAGACAGAGCATGTGCCAGGAAAAGCTATTGTACCAAGAAGGAGGTTTAGCATATGGGTGAAGGGCCTGTGGATAGCTCAAATCACCTATGTGGAGGTTAGAGTGACTGTAAGGCAGAGCATGGGGCACAGGGGAAATGATGGGAAATGATGCCGAAGAAATAGATGGAGACCAAACCACAGCTTTGCAGGTCAGGGTAAGATTTTTGTTGTTTATTCCAAACTAAAGGTAAACTGATATATTTTAAACATTCCAATGCACATGCATGTACCTGTGTGTGTGTGTGTGTGTGTGTGTGTGTGTGTGTGTGTGTGTGTGAGAGAGAGAGAGAGAGAGAGAGAGAGAGAGAGAGAGAGAGAGAGAGAGAAAGGGGATGTGGAGGGAGAGAGAGGGAGAATACAGTGTTTGGACATTCCAAAGGGGTTTGGGCAGAAATAAGATTACAGTGCAGCAGCAAACAAAGAAAGGAAAACAGTGGCGTGCAATCAGTTCAGAGTTGACATCCTTGCATGAGGTGAAAGGAGCTAAGAGTCACCGGATGTGATTCTGGCTGTATTTGATACGGGGCTTGAAAGATACTTCTCAGGCTTCCAATTTATTCAATCATGTGGACAACTGTGTCACTTACTGAGACAGTGTAACTTTAAATGAAAAGCAAATTTGTTGAACAAGAGGATCATGGGATTTATTTTAAAACTCCCGCCTTTTCAATGCCCTACTAACATCCAAACTCAGGTATCAGAGAGGCAGATAGATGAATGAGCTTGAGGCTCAGAAACAAGATTCGTGACAGAGACACTGATTTTTGATTCACTCAGGGTGAGTCAATAATTGAAGCCACTAGGTGAAATAACTTCTCTTTGAATGTAGAGTATGAGAGCCTAGAAACAAATCCTGAAAAATAGCATTTCTTAGCCAGGTAAAGGAGACAAATCTGACTATAGATGGAGGCAAATTAAAGAAGGATGTAATGAGCAACCAAAAGAGTCTATTGTCACAAAAATAAGAAAAGGATGTTTTAAAAGTCAACAAGCAGTATACATGTCAAGTAATTCTGAAAAGCCAGCTAAAGTGACATCTGAAAAATGTTTGATTTAGCACCAACATTTCGTTTTGATGTGGAAGATCAGGTTAAAGACCAGAGCAAATCCAGCCATGGAATGAATATATAATAATAGATACAAAAGCCTGAACCCAAATGAGATACCAGTGAGAGGGTTAGGAAGAAATGGAAATCAATTTTAGGCTCCTGGGCTGCAAGGGGTCAGCTCTATGGACTATTTGAGAAAGAAAGGCAAAGTGACCTCTGCTGTGGGATGTTCTGTATGGCAAATGTGTTGCTAATTAGTCAATAAATAAAACACTGATTGGCCATTGGCTAGGCAGGAAGTGTAGGCGGAACAAGGAGGAGAATAAAGCTGGGAAGTGGAAGGCTGAGTCAGAGAGACACTGCCAGCCACCACGATGAGAAACAGCATGTGAAGATGCCGGTAAGCCACGAGCCATGTGGCAAGGTATAGATTAATGGAAATGGATTAATTTAAGCTGTAAGAACAGTTAGCAAGAAGCCTGCCATGGCCATACAGTTTGTAACCAATATAAGTCTCTGTGTTTACTTGGTCGGGTCTGACGGCTGTGGGACTGGCAGGTGAGAGAGATTTGTCCTGACTGTGGGCCAGGCAGGAAAACTCTAGCTACAGACCTCTGCACGAATTCTCTCTGCTAGGATTCCACTGGTCAAATCAAGCCATAGGCCTGAATTTAGGACCAAGGTTTAGAAAACCAATTATTCTACTTTAGTGGGGAAAAACTGTAAAATCTGCATAGTAAGAGGATGTGAGCACAGAAAGGGTGAAGCATTGGGTTCCTAGTGCAGTCAACCTGTCAACAGTTTAACTCATAATTAACATCATTCTATCATATAATCCACCATCCTGATTTCTGTCAAGTTCTCCAATGCCAGCTGGTTGTTTATGGAGAAGAAAAAAATAAAGAAACGAATTGCTAGAAAATAGAGTGAAAGTACGCAAGAGATGGAGAAACAAGACAGCTTAAGAGGTAAGTTGGGCAGAGTGCTAATTGCTTTTGTGGTCACTGTGAAAATGCCCAATTGAAACAACTTAAGACAGGAAAGGTGTATTGTGGTTCATGGGTGAGAGGGTACATTCCATAATGGTTAGGACAGCATGTTGGTTGGAGTACTCTGACCACTGGCAGAGAGAGCATGTGGTATGATTTGTTTATAGCTTAGCTGGGCAGGAAGCAGAGAGAGTTCAGATTTGGAATAAGTAGGGAATGGCATCTTTAAAGCATGTGCCTAGTAGCCTATATTTGCCAAAATGGCCACCTGTTCTGAAATTTTCATAAACTTCAAAAACAGAGCCAACAGCTGGGGACCAAGTGCTTAAACAGAAGAGCTTTTACATTTGAACCATAATGGACAGCTATTAACGTAACTATTAATGTATTAAAGTATTACCTGGGCAATGAGGGATGTATAATAGAAGATGGTGTGAAGTCAATAGGATTAAACTAAAAACTATCTAAATCAAAATTTTGACAAGGAGATTGTTAAAGTCCTTCATTTTTTGATATAGAACAATCAAATGGGATAACAGGGTCCAAGGAATGGCAACATGTATGAGGAGCTGAGGGAAAAGCTACAGAGGAAAAGTTAAGCATCGCCCTTATGTGCTAGTATCTTTGGTACAGGAAGGTATTTTACATGCTACTAGAGCAGAAACACAAACAGCAACCCAGCCACAAACCCTTTGATCTACAATGGTGTCCTGCCCGCAAGAAACACTAGTGCAGGGGTGGCCCACAACTTGTGAGAGTGACCAGCCAGTGTCTGATTTCACTTCATACCTACTCTGTGAGATGAAACCCATTCCTGACACTATTGGGGTGATGGAGAACCTGAGTCAACAAAGCCCAAGGACCTTGCATAAAAGCAAACACTAATTTTTTTTTTAAGAAATAGTAGCAATAAAATGACTTCCAATGACATTCTGTATACTCATGTATCAGTTCCTTCTTCAGCAATCATCAGAGAAGCTTCCCCCTGCAGCAGATGGGAAAAAATACAGAGACCCAGGGCCAGCCATTATGCAGAGAGTGAGAATCCTTAGAAAACTCATGCCTAAACAGAATGTCTCCATCAAATCCCTCCCCTCAGGTCTCAGGGAAGCCTATGGAAGAGAAAGCTGAAAGACTGTAAGAGCCAGAGTGGGTGGAGGAGACCAAGAAAACAAGGCCCTCTAATCAACATATGAACGCACAGACTGAGGCAGCACACACAGGGCCTTCACGGGTTTGCACCAGGTGAGGTCCTAGAGCTGACCGAAGTGGACATACACACCCCTTCCTAACCAGGAAGCTGTCTCCAAATAACCACTTCCAAATGAACATTTAGTTTCCCCAGGGGATTCTCACCAGGAAAATAAACTCCTCTTAAGGATAAGCTGCATGTTCAACAGTAGATGGCCAATAGAAAATTTACTCAATGGCATCTTTGGAGTTTCCTTGTCTCATAATGCCATGTCAGGGCTCTTCCTTTTTTTTTAAAATTTTATCATTTTTTAAAATTTTTATTCTGTTTTATTTCCATACATTTTTTTCTTCTGTCTTTTTACCCTACAGCTCCTTTGCATATATGTTGTTTCCAGTTTAGCATTTTCATGAGATTCCCGAGTGTGTGACTGAGTTGGTCTCCATATCTTTATCTGCTTCGTGTGCCTTTTCATGGGTTCTTTCCCTTCTGTTTCTTTGTTTTGTCCTACTCTTGTGTGTTAGTTTGTATTTTGTCTTATTTTATTATATTATTATTCTTTAGAAGCCTGTTTGTTTTCTAATGGGTGACAGAAACAGGGTGGATCAAGAAGGGAGTTGAGGTGGGGAGGAACTAAGAGGAACAGAGGGAGGGACACCATAATCAGGATACATTAAGTAAGAAAAAAAATCTAATTTCAATAAAAAAAAATACAGAGGGATATTAGGCTATTCTTATATAAGGTGAAAATATAAAAAAAATATAATGCAGTGTCATCATGCAGAATGCATGTGTGGCATGACAAGGGCATTAAGAGAACAATGTGTGAGGAAAGGGATTACTATAACCAGAGGGCCGATGATGTTCAGGTTTGTGGTCCATTATTAGGCAGACACCTTTTTAGAAAACATTATTTGCAGGAAAAGATGCCATCTAGCTTTTCTCTCAACTTTGAAATGTGGAAGGTGATAAAAATTAACCACCGCCACAGCCTCTGTTGTACACCAGACACAACTGAGACCTGCATGGCTTCTTGGTAGAAGACACATGTAATTTCAGAATTAACTGTCATGTCGTTAGATACAACTGTATGGGCGTGGTGACCTAAACTAGTTCCAATCAAGTTGGTTATGAATGCTTCAAGATAGGATGGAAAGCGATGAAGAAGGAATTGGGATCCTTAAGCACAAAGTAAGAAAGAACAGTATTTACCCCCTCCACCATGCAATGTGAGTTCAGCCTTGACAGGGAAACAGTGCCTCTGGAATGATCTCTTCTGTCCTAGGAAGAGCAGTCTATTCAGACACTCGGTGGTCCCAAAGTTCTTGAAGCACATGAATCAAACACTGTGGAGTGGATAGCAATAATATAAAATTATGAAGGACTAGAATTGTTATTCTTTGAGAAAGAAAAGAGAAAAAAATAAAAATATGTAATTAAATATGGCATGTGTTTGTCTTTTTAAAATGTGAGTGATAGGTACTCTACACTAATACATTTGTTTATCTAAGGTCACAAAAGGAAGCATCAATGCAAAGGATTAATCACTACACAACTTGATAGCAAGTCCTAACCCTGTCTTATGTTCATGTTCCCATTCTAGTCAGGGTATAGATTCTCATACATAGGAAGTACCCAGTTAACACATTTTTAAAAGCATATAAAAAGCATTGACCATCCTGTGAATATACTTAAGTCTTTCAGACATACAATTTCACATTTCTATGTAAATGACTTGCATTTGAACTATAGTAGCATCTACAAACTTGATGGACAGTCATTGTGGGGGGAAATCTTCCCTCTAATTTGCTTGTATGTAACCAGAGGGTTAATATGTCCATGCAGAGTGCAGACTTTTCTCAAAGGTCTCTTGTGTTCCACTCCCCCTTGCATTTTAATCCAGGCTTTTATGTATGAATAAACACTCATGTCTTTGCTCACAGGGCTGGCCTATCATATTCACATACACATACTCTCTGAGGTAATCTTTAGCCAAGCACTTTCTGATTATATTACACTTTTTCACACTGTTGTCCCAGTAGACGTTGACGTCATCTGGAGACACAGTAGCGCCATCGGCCTTCAGAGGTTCAATTTATTCTGCCATCCGGAAACCCTGCCGACAAGGCAGCCTGTGTTTGGAATTAAGCTTCTGACATGCAGGGCATGGTGGAGTGCAAACATTGGTTAGCGCTTCCTTTCGCAACCACAGAGGAAAGCCACACTGATTGGTATTCAGGAAAGGGACCTCCTGTTTCGAAGGATTCCTTCATGCTGTTCAGCAATACTCCTTAGGGTGGATTTTCCCATTTGAACTGCAAAGCTTGAACACAAATATTAACTACCTGAAGCTGCAAATAGCAGCATGGTACATTAAAAAAATAATGAATATTTTAACCAGCCTTTGCCCAACCAAGAAAAATATTATGCAGAAACAAGGCTGATTTTAGAAAAATGCCTAAGGAAACATTTTTTTAAAGAGTTGAGCTTCCTTTCAAAGTTTGTTTTTGCTAAACATTCGTAGTTTTGCTTTTTCCAACCCAATTTTTATTATAAGAGAGGTCTCCCACAATGTGCCTGACATTTACTTCAAAATAATAAATAATACACAAAACCTTTGGAAATAGTACATAAGCTCTTAAATGAGACAGGAATAATGAAATCCATTACTTAGAAGGGAAGGTAATTCTTTGTAGGTATGTATGCTTGAGGCTACTTACAGCAAGCAGGGTTCTCACTTTTTGACTATTTCCATGTTTATTTTCTCATTTTATCAAACAAAATAGTTTTATTTTGTTCTAAATTGATGTAGGATAATTGTGCATCTTTATGTGGCACAGAGTGATGTCTCAATAACTATACATTGTCATGTGTAATGATCTAGTCAGGAAGTGTATCTACCACCTCAAGCACATTTTGAAATGTGTTGGGAAATTTAACTCCTCATTTCCAGTCATTTTCAAACATAAAATTGTCAGCCAAAATCTCTTTACATTTGGATACCAAATGTCATTCCTGTGCTCTGTGCCAGCAAAGGACGTCGTCCACTCTCTCCTCGGGACTCTGGTAACTATTATTCTACTCTGCACTTTGATGGGAGTCACTGTCACAGATGAGTGAAATTGTGTCTTATTTAGTTTCCCGTACCTACCTTATTTCATTCAGGATAATGTGATCATGTAGCCATAAATGACAAGATTTCATCTCTTTTTGAGCTGAACATTATTTCACTTTGTTTATGTACTATATTTACCATATCCATCATCTGTTGATGGGCATGTAGATTGACTCCCTGCTGTGGCTATTGTGAATAATGGTGCAACAATCGTATGGGGCAGATTTCCTTTTGACACTGATTTTATTCCTTTCGATATATACCCCAGATCATATAGTAATTTAGGTAATTTTTGGAAGAACTTAAAAAAAAAGAAACTTTTGTTTTTTTTTCAAGACAAGGTTTCTCTGTGTAACTTTGGAACCTGTCCTGGGACTTGCTGTGTAGACCAGGCTGGCCTTGAACTCACAGAGATCTGCCTGCCTCTGCCTCCCAAGTGCTGGGATTAAAGGCGTGTGCCACCACCGCCTGGTGAACTTCAACATTTTTAACTGACTCTCATGAAGTACCTGAAGGTGCTGCCTCATTTGCAGTCAGTAGAAGACTTAGACATTTTAGAGCTGTGGCTCTGAGGAAAGATATGTACCTGGTGGCTAGCTTCTTTGGCATTCATATTGTATTGGTGAAGACCAAAACAACTCTCTTCAAGAATTTAGATTCTTAATCAGTGAAATAGGAATTGTACACTGAACTTAGTAACTACATGGTTTTAGAATACTTCCTTTGTTTCAAGCTATTTTCTCCTCAATACATGACTTACATTAACTCTTTAACTCCCCATAACACTCCTTTGAAGATTATGTTAGTATTACCTCTTTTAGCAGCTAGGGAAGCCATTATACTGAGATAAACAAACACACACTTGAAACTGTTGTGTGCTTAACCGGAAGTCCAATGTCACTGACTACAATATCCCACTTACTCATTTACTTCCTTCTGCTGTCGGTTACACACAGGTTAAGGAGCCTAGAATCAACCCTCCTTGGTTTCCTAACTCATTGGTATTCAAAACTTTTCCTTGCCATTCTTTGTTTTGTTTCTGTTTTGTTGTGTAATTTCATTATGTATCTTACATGTGAAATGATAAGAAAATATGGGTCAGTGTACCCAAATTCTAGTTGTAACCCAGCTACTGCTCATAAAAACTTTAGATATAGCATTAGTTCAGTTGATCACCTATAAGGCAAACATAGGGACAGCATCCCCGTGTTCCCACTGTGGGAATGCATTGGGAATGGTAGACAGATTCTTCTCTTCCTGCGTGATGAACCAAATTGAAGCCCCTACTATTTTATTTTCAATACTAAACTACTAACATTTTTGTTGTAGAAGACAGTATACCTATGAGAGAAGGGAGGCTTAAAGTTATTAATAAGTTTTATCAACCCTTTTCTTTTCATCAAGACTTGATTAAGTTGTAGCCTGTATTAAAAACAAGAGCAGTGACTAACCAACTGGGATTTTCTGATATCAAAGATGTGGGAGCATCAATAATGATAAACAGATGGTGCAATTAGTGTTGGCTACCAACAGAGATCCTAACGTCACTTTTTATGTCTGCAGCACTGATCAAAGTTGACAGGGTCATGATGATGTTTGTGAAGGCTTACCAGAAATTAATTTTGTAGACTAAAATATCTTACATTTATGCCCAAGCACTTATTTGGAAATCCAATTCCTCCCTCCCTTGGGAGAATATCTCTATTCCCTAATTTCACTTTTCAGTTACTCTCTTGCATAGCATTCCTCCCACTTAAACCTTGGAGCAATGTCTTCAATTTTTACATTACTTAAGATAGTCTATTTTCCCATCTTTCTCTGTTCAAGCCATTGGCTTAAAATATGCCATAAAATGCACTACAAATCAAGAAATAACAAATTTAAGTATTTGATAACAATCTGGTGAAAATTATTATTATTATTTTTTTACTTTTCTTTAGCATAAGAATCTCTATGGATGTGATCTTTCTTAGTTGGGAAGCCACAATGATTTTGTTTGAACAGCCCCACCATTCAGGGTCATGGATGTTGTGTCTCTGGTTGTTGTATCCTTTCTCATTGCATCATCTTGTCCCTTTGCACAATTAATGACTTATCTCAGCTGTCCCCTCATTTGATGTCTGACAAAGATGGTGGAGTAGCAGAAGCCACCATAGAGTACTCAGTAACATATCTAGTAAATCATCTATGAATATTTAGTAAGCATTCTCTGTAAAAAGGAACTGTTTTACGTACTGAGACAAAAGCCAAATATTGATTCTTGCCCACACAATGCTTACATTCTAAGAATATTGGACAGAGGAGTAGAAAATCAACTTCCAGTCTTCCTGTTTGTTTAAATAATTATATAAATTAGTGAACACATTCGCTAATATTGATCATGATATAAAAATAGAGGAAAGTAAATGTTATAAAAGTATTTAAGTTAGAACAGAGATACCTAAAAGTGGTCAGGTTCTAGAAGATTGCTTATAAAGCGTTACTGTAATTATGCAAATACGTAGATGCATAAGAAGCATTTTAGTCAGAAGGCAGTCTACATCAATGCTGGGTGATGACAACTACTTAGAATGCAGAGAAGTAGAAATAAGGCAGAATATAAAAAGTTAAGATGATGTAAGAGCTGATCTACAATATAAAGGGCCATGACATATGCAACTGAAAAACAGAAATGGGAAAGGAGTTTGTTTTATAAGTAGTAGGGTTCAGCAATGGTCTTCAACCCTCTATGAACCTCAGAGTCTGCAGGGTCACTTGGTAAAGCATATGCATTACTGAGTTCAATCAAATCTTAAAATCTATGAGTTAGTGCTTCCAGGATGGGGCTCAAGAAATTTTACCTTTAACAGGTGATTCTAAAACTCTTGGTCTGAAGACACTTTGAGAATAATTGCTATAGTAGATCTCTATTACCTTTTTCTGCCTTGTGTAGATTTTGCTGTTTGGAAAAGAAACTTGAATTATTGTGCAAAAATATCTATTCTTACCCAGTTCAACCAATAGATACTCTTAACCTTTGTCACAATGAGCCACTGGAATTTGGCCAAATGATTCCTGGAAATAATTTGAATCTAATTTGGGACATTCCTGAAACTATTGCACAGTAAAGCTATCAAATCCCTGAAGAAGAAATTTTAACCCAATATGTAGAAAAAAATCCTCCAAAAGTTAACCTGAGGCCGAAGTGAATGGACCCTGAAGTAGTCATGCCTAAATCATCTCTGCCCACTAAGATCCTCAGTTATATCACTTAGTTTTCAGTCTTATGGATGAAAATTTCCCCTGGTCTCTGACACATATAAGCCCAAATCTAAGTATATAGAAAAGTACTGTGGATAATATACTTTTTAAAAAACTAAATATGATGAGAGATGTGGTGGCACATGACTTTAATGTGCATGTAGAAGGCAGAGGCAGGCAGATCTCTGTGAGTTAGAGGCCAACCTGGTATACCTAGTGAGTTCCAGGACAGCCATGACTATGTAGAGAAACACTGTCTCATTTCTTTTTCTTTTTCATTTATCATAGAGAACTGGAAAAGAGAATTTAAATGACTCAGTAATACTTTGCACATGACTATAGTGACTTTTGTACCAGCCAAAGTTGAGCTATTTAAAACACAAGCAAATAGAAAGATATAAGTAGTCAGATGACTGTAGGGAGTTGAAAGTGCACTGGACAGCACTTAGTTATGCTATGCCCTACCAGCAGCACTATTACTATATACCACTCACAAAATGACTCTAAGAAAAGTTTATGTTTGGTCCCCCTTTCCTTCTCTATGAATTGCTGATACTCTCCATAAATAGATGCAGATTTTCCATTACAAATGTATGGAAATTTTCTAAATAGTATCCATGACTGTCTTAATTCTGTGTCATCAACTCAGGTTAAACTCTCTTCTTGGTATATTTCACGACTTTCTATACACTGCCTTTTCCTCTCCCTTATAGAACTCTTGTGCTGATATCCATAATTCTGAATCACAGTGTTTTGCATAGAGCGTAGCTATACAGATGTCTATTAACTAAACAGTAAGATGATTCATAGTTAAAATCAACATTCCTTGGGAGCACTTAAAACTCCAAAATCCTTTTGTTGAGAGAGAGAGAGAGAGAGAGAGAGAGAGAGAGAGAGAGAGAGAGAGAGAGAGAAGGATGATGATGATGATGATGATGATGATGATGATGATAGGGTATGGAGCATATGCCATGGTACATGTGGATGGAGATCATAGGAACTTTGAGGAATTAGTCTCTACTACAACCTTTGTGTGAGTTCTAGGGATTCAGCTAAGGTCACTAGGCTTGCACAGAAAGGGTCTTTATATGCCAAAACACCTCACTGGCCTTTAAATACAGTTTTGAGGCATGTGAAGTTTCTACCATAAACCAAAGATCTTAGCTTCCAATTTTACCATATTGGAAATTCATAGAAACCACATGTCTTAGCTGGGGTTACTAATTGTGAGGGGACACCATGATCAAAGCCGTTTAGGGAGTAAAAGGCTTATTTGGCTTATACGTTCTGAGTTACAGTCTATTCAAGGAAGCCAAGGCAGAAACTCAGACCAAGCAGGAACAGGCAAGCAGGAGCTGATGTAGAGGCAATGGCAGATTGGTGCTTACTGGCTTGCTCCTTATGGCTTCCTCAGCCTGCTTTCTTAGAGAACCCATGTCTATCAGCCAAGGGATGGCCCCACCAACAATGGGTTGGGCCCTCCAACATCCATCACTAGTTAAGAAAACACCTTACAGGCTTGTCTATAGTTCTGTCTTCTGGAGGTATTTTCTCAATTGAGGTTCCCTCCTTTCTGATGACTCTAGCTTATGTCAAGTTGACACAAAACTAGCCAGCACACCATATAATAGTTCTAAAATAAAGAATGCAGATATTCAGAGAAACTATAAAAATACTGAAGTACATAAGCAAAATTTTAATTATTATTCAGTAAAATGGGTGAAAATTTAAGTGTTGTCTGTAGTTCTTGTGTTTCCGCATCAGTTTTACACTGCCATGGTGCCACTGACCCACTGGCCATAACTGGACCAAAGTACTTTTCTGCAATGATGGAGGATCTGTGCCGACTGTCTGTTTCCTCTCTTGCCCAATCCTACAGGCACTTGGGCTTCTCAGATAGGGCAGACCTAGAACATTCTGGAAAGGAAGCTGCCTTTTCTGGGCAGTGCTGTCTAATTTTAGAAATGCTATTACTAAGGTTATAGCCGCAAACTGAGTGTCAAATTTACATGTATGAAGTTCTGTGTGGTTAGAAACAGGGCATTGCAGATATGAGGAGCAAATCATCATTGGTCCTAATTATCTGGGTCATATCACTCAGTCTTACACACATGGGATGAAATTGTTCATTCTTTAGAAAGCAGCTTGGGGGAGGGTGGCCAGAAGGCTCTGTGGCTAAAGGCGTTTGTCTCTAAGCCTAATACCTGAGTTAAACTTTCTTTCTTTCTTTTTCTTTTTTTCACTTTTCTTTATTAAGAAATTTTCTACTCACTCCACATACCACCCACAGATCCCCCCTCCTCCCACCCCCCCCCAGCCACCCCGCATCCCCGAGAACCAACTCTGATGGTTTGTCCTCTGACTTCCACATGTGGGCTATGACACCCATGTGCCCACATACATACACACATATATAAGCAAAGTGAAGGTTAAATTAAAAATTAAAATTCAAGTGTGTAGTCACCTCTGAGGAAAGGCATAAGAAGACAGAATCAAGCTTGAAGGGTGGCAGTGATGGGTGATCTTTAAAGTTACTGAAAATATGTTTCCTTCATAATTTGGTGGTGTGTTTCTGTGTAAGTTAAATGTGAATGATACCTATTTCAAATAAAATATTTTAAAAGAATAAATATGGATTGTCCTTTTTAAGTTAAACTGTATAGGACCCCAAATGGGTTTTAATATTTGAAATGCTATTTGTTATTTTTTTACATATATTTATTTATGCACGTATTATGTATTTATTTTAGGGGGCACACATGTGTCATGACAGAAGAAAACTTATTGGAGTCAGTTCTTTCCTTCTACTATGTGGATTGTAAGGATAGACCAAGGCCTCAGGCTGAAGGACAAGCACCCCTGCCTGCTGAGTCTAAGTACATACTCCTGAAATACCATTTTCAGTGTCATAAAATTGAGTGCTTGATGCACTTCCTTGAGAGGATGTGTTAGAGCCACAGCTGGTGGCAGTTAGTAGTCATTTCAAGCATGTCTGTTTTGTTTGCCCTGAGCCAATGGCACGTTTTTCTCAGTGTTGTTCACTGCTAACAAATAACACTTTGTGAGTTCTCTTTTTCTCCATTCCTACAAAAGCGGGTTTTCAAGCATCAACAACATAAGGAGAGAGGGAATTGTCCAAAGTAAATCACATCATCAGTCAGTGTTTGACATATGTATGTTCTACTTTGGGGCATCATCACTGAAGGTGTGTGTGTCCCCCTAAGCTATGGAATCTCCTGTTATCTGAGAACATCTCTCCATCCTGATAAAGAAGCCCAACCCAAGCTCAACCCTTCATTCTGGAAATCCCCAGGTGTCCATCCCACCACTCATCGATTGGTGAAATTATTAAGGCCACTCCACGTAGTTAAAAGGAGATTTATTTAATGGCATAACTTACAAATTAAGGGATAGGTAGGTCGCAGGGTCTGGGGAAGGTGTATCACAGTCCAGCAGTGTTCTCTGGAGCTCTGCTTGGTCCACCTCCACTATCCAGGGTCCTGGCATGGAGCTAGCGCCCGCCGATCCAGATCTTGGGTACCCAGGCGCCTCCCTTGGCCCCGCCTTGTAGGCATGGCAGTTGCCGAAGTCTCAATGGGGGTTGGAACTTCCAGATCAAAGCTGGAATGGCTACCCACTACATCTCCCCCTTCTTGTCTAAATAAGAAAGTTCTAACTTAATACAAGACTATATACAAAGGAATGGTTATCAAATATTGTCCAGGAATAATGAGGGATAATGACCTAGATAAGATGGAACTACAACCAATGCAAACAATATCAAGCAAGAAACACATACTAAAATACAGAGAAGTATAGAGCATAGGTAAATGGCATGTTACAAAGATCATTCCAAAAGGTGTCCTATCCTAAAGAACCTGAATCTAATACTTAATATGTTCTATCTACTAAGTTGTAACTATAACTGCTAGTCTTCAATCCCATCAAAGACCTGAGAAGGAATATAATGGTACCTGAGAAATGGTAGATGGATGCAAGCAACTTTCGGGAATCTTGCGAGAGTAGACCGAGACAGCTGGCAGCCTGGACAGTCACCTAATGTTTCTCAGCATTGTTGGTACATTCAAATTGGCTACAGGCCTAAAGTATCTGACAGACCATCTTCAGAAGCAGGAATTCTGAAAGACCATCTTACCCTGTCTTGGCAGAGTACAGTGGTCGCTTTCCTTGTGTCCCGCTTGTCCAGAAAGGATAGCATTGCATTAGTACTGTCAGCCGTCGAGGCAAGGGCAGTTCTTTGCCCGGTAGGCCATTTTGTGCCAAGAAGACAAACTTCCAAATGGAAATGTCTTAGAAGCCCAACATTCTCTCGGGATCAAATTGGTGCTGCCAGGAGCAATTGTGTCTCACGTCAACAGAATTCTAAGTTATTTAAATGCCATATTCTATAAATCTATAAGTCTTATCTACCTAAATAACCTAAGGACTAAGGCTTCATGTAAACAAGGTAAACAGTCTATAAACAAATGGTAAAGGATGATGACTTCAAAATTGTGACAATACACAAAATATCTTTAACAGAGGTAGTAATTATAGTGCAATATGCAATATGACAATAATCTTAAATATAGATCGATATTTATAACAGAGGTAGGAGTATGTAGTGTGATATGCAATATGACAATAATCTTAAATATATATCAATATACCGAATATCCTAAGCAGAAGTAGAACATACATGAAGTATGACAGAAAAAAAAAGGGGGAAGTGCTGTGGGATGTTCTGTATGGCAAATGTGTTGCTAATTAGTCAATAAATAAAACACTGATTGGCCATTGGCTAGGCAGGAAGTGTAGGTGGGACAAGGAGGAGAATAAAGCTGGGAAGTGGAAAGCTGAGTCAGAGAGACACTGCCAGTCGCCACGATGAGAAACAGCATGTGAAGATGCCAGTAAGCCACGAGCCACGTGGCAAGGTATAGATTAATGGAAATGGATTAATTTAAGCTGTAAGAACAGTTAGCAAGAAGCCTGCCACGGCCATACAGTTTGTAACCAATATAAGTCTCTGTGTTTACTTGGTCGGGTCTGAGTGGCTGTGGGACTGGCAGGTGAGAGAGATTTGTCTTGACCGTGGGCCAAGCAGGAAAACTCTAGCTACACTCATCCTCAGGAAGGAAACCATAATGCTCTGCCTAGATCACCACTCTTGTCTCCTAGAAAACCTAGCTCCCTCATCCCCAGGAGGCACAATCCATTCCCATAGGAAGTTTGCTTGCCCATTGTAGTAATAGAACTGCCATCTGTTTCTGCTGAGGTCAGTTTCACCCTTCCTCATTTTCACATTGCCTGGATAAACCCTGATCTAACAATCATGTTTTCAGATAGGTTATCAACATATTTACATGCCTCAAAAGTAAACACTTTAAAATCAGTTGAGTTTTCAGGTTGGCTGGGAGATTCTTTGCCTCTTGGAAGGATTCCATCCTTTATCCTTCATCTGCTGTGTATATCCTGGGACAGCCAGTGGCCAGCTTGACTAGGAGAACCTGTGCTCAAACTCTTGAGCAGTTCGCAATCTGGGTCAACTGTCTATAAATGTTCTCAACTGTGCTAAAACCTGAGTGACATCATTCTGCCCTCTCCATCTTACCCTTCATGAATGTTCTCACCTGTGCTGCTCTCGCTCTGCCGACTGTGTCTTATCCACTATGTATAGTCTGACAAAGTCAGTCAAAAAACAAAACAAAAACCAAAAAAAAAAAAAAAAAACAGAAAACAAACAAAAAAAATAAACCAGAAAGAAAACCCATTCTAGAGCTCTCCCTGACTTCCAGCATGATTGTCTCACCCCTATGGACAGCATGCTTGCTAACAATAGGCCAAAGCCATAATTCAGGAACACAGCAGAACAC